AGCAGGGAGCCTGATGCGGGACTCGATCCCAGGACCCTGGGATCATGACCTGAGCCAAAGGCAGACAGACGCTCAACCATCCGAGCCACCCAGGCGCCCGCTCATTTAAACTTCTATTTCCTTTAAGAGTAGCTCAAAATAACTTTAATGAAGTGTTGATTAATAAATATACTCATGTTCTTTTCTGGAACAGTTACAAAAGTTTTGCTTGAGGAGATTCTTTGTGTTGTTTGGCTTTTCTGTTGCTTGGGCAGGGCAAATTTTATAAAATTAAGCAACTATTTAACTGTATATTCACTGGAAGAGAGATAGTATGCATAAGCGAATCTCAACTGCAAGGACTAAGTTTTAACAACTGTTATTCTGTAACTGTCATCATTACAAAACCCCAATCTCCCAGGCATAGTGATTTAATGGCACATTTCCTAAGTCCAGCAACGGGTTTTAAACCATCCTGCTGTATTTTTGGCCCCAGGGGAGGAACTAATCCTTTTCTCTGTTACTATCTGGAAACCAGGAAGCTGCATGACAGCTCTATCTGTACTTTATTTCTAAGCACATTTTTACCGGCGATATCTCAACCTACCTATGATGGCAGCCCCACAAAGCCCTCCGCAGCACAGTATTCCTACCTGCTCCACCGAGAGGTGGCGGCAGCTTGTGTTCTCAAGTGGCCCTCTGTGCTCCTCACTTGTCATCTTTTTCTCCTAGACCGTGGCCTTGCTCTGCTCACAATGGCTCAATGGCATGCAGACAGCCTTTAATTGGTTTTCTTAAGAGGCAATGTTGACTGGAAAGGCTGACTTGTATTTAAACTCTGCCCTTTGTGCAAATGCCAGACTTTCTCAATAGCATTTTAGAGGAAATTTTCTGTTTTGAGCATAATTACTAATACAGTCACAGCACCACCCATACTGCTCAATGCTAAGACACTGCAGCTCTGCTTTTCCGTATGTCACTGATTTTTGTTAAAGCGTTCTGAAACTTGAGTTCTTGATGGAACCATTTTCACAACTACACATCCTAAAGTTCTTCCTTGTAAAGCGGGCCAGAGGGCCTATGGAAAGACAATTTTTTTTTTGAAGAGACAAAAGTTCCTGAGATGTAGAAACTTAATTCCTCTAAGCTTGGCTCTTCCCTACCCTGCTTCAGGAATCTGATTCTTCTTCCTCCTCCTCCTCCTCCTCCTCTTCAGGCACATGGCTCCTTGTGCTCAACTCCAGTGCAGTTTGGTTGATTGATGCTTCATTGTCTACATGCACCAACATCTGCTTTAGGCAAGGACATTATGGATTAGTAGGAAAGACGCTGGCCTCAAAGCAGCAAATTCTTAAATAGGTTTTAAAATCAAATCTCAATTGCATCCTCATGCCCAATATTTATCATCAGGAGGTAAGGCCACTTCCTATTTCTCCCCTGACTCTCTTACCCCCACCTCCCCATTGCCAAAATGGGAGGAGAGTAAATGCCCTAGATTTGACAGAATGTTACCTGATCTACAAACATGGTTCATGCAGAATTATGCTAGCCTAGATGTGCTACTTTCAAATGGTTTTAGATGGCTTAAACACATCTGGGAGAAAAAGTGCTCAAATATGGTATATTTAGAAAGAAGAATATTGTACCATTTTACTCGTGGACATTAGCAGGAGGAGATGTTGAGGACTGGAATTCACTTGTTCGCACTATGCTTTGTAGCTGAAGCTACACTCTTTCTTAAATCCCAGGCTTACTTATTCATGAAGCAGTGGAAGTTTTTGACAAATGCCTGCAAAGCTCTCCAACTCTCCCTGGGTTCACTGGACTAACTAGAGAGGTCAGATGACTGGGATGGTGCAGGCAATACAACAGTACCTCATTAATCAAAGTGTGACCAGCTGGTAGAAAGGTGGGCTGTTTCCTGTCTAAAACAGTGATATGAAATAACCAGTTCATTAAACTAGAAAGCTCTCACAAGCAATTCCCTGAGTCCTCTGGGCTTGATAATGTAATTTACAAAAATTTTTGGCCTCCAAGCAGCACAAGAGCAGAATGCACTTTGCATTCTCTCCCTAGGCCCATACTTGATTCAACTTACATCATGTGACTGTTCAGGTGCAGGCTGAGAAGACAGTACCTCATCCCCTCTCCTAGAACTAATCATTGATTGGAGGGCTAGTTCTTCAACCTAGAAAAGAAGAGGTGAGGACACTCTGCTTACTATTATTTCACTGGGCTACTGACATGGGTAAAATCTGCTGAGCATGCTGTCAAAGGCAAGCATCATGAGGAGATGTGAAAACAGTGTCACCTCTGTGCAGCTCTAGAGGGAAGGGTGGGGCTCTTAATCTTTCCCCACATTTTTAAGGAAAAGAACCAAGAAAACCTCCAGGCCTTTCCCCTGGGTGTACAGGTGTCTCAGCTGAGCCAAGACTTTCATTCCCCTAGATATAGCAGATCAAAAGCCAAGTGTGCCCTTAAAAAAGCCAGGTGTCTTCTGATTCCACAGAAGGCCGATTCCCTAGACTCTAGATTTATACCCAGTAATAAGAAAGTGAAGGCAGGAAGAACGGAAAGTGGAAGTGTTTCCCCGAGCATAAGGGAACAGAGGCTTTAGAGGTCATGGTCACCAGCATACACCACACATCCGCTGGGTACTTGTACAGGTACTAGTGGTACAAACACACGAATAACTGCAGGCCATTACAACTGTCCTGAGGAAAATATTACTTTGATATGTCATAGCTGTACAGTGCTTTTAGCTTACAAAAGGCCTTCAAAACCCGCATTTCATTTGGGCTTAAAGATCCTGAAGAAGAGTTCTTAATCAGGATCATCTCACTGGGGCTAAAGAGGGTGGATTAGGCCCAGGTGTGGGAAATGGCCCAGGTGCACCAAATCTCGTCCAGGCCATGGAGTCCGTAACAGCTGCCAGAATTAAAGCTACCGGGAACTCTGCGACACCTCTTCCCTCAGGCCCTGGCTTGCTTTCTTTGCACAACGGATCTACGAGTCTCTTCTGGCTTAACAATACCGGAGCTGTTTCAAGTGCCAAAAGCAGCTAGTGCATGGTGGCGAGCACATACTGAAGGAGCTGGGGAGGAGGGGGTCCGGGACAAGGAGAGCCTGGTCCGGGCTTAGGGAGGTCGCACTTGCTCAGCGCAAGATGTGCGGAGCACCTGCATTTACGGGTGTTGGGGGTGTGGCGGTAGCCTTGCCACACGTACATATCGCTGGACCTCAGCCTAGGCCTGCAGGCTCAAGATTCTGAGAGAAGTGGGCCCGCAATATCAAACGCGCTCCCAGGGGCTTCTCAACCACCAGGTGGACGCCGCCGACGCCTAGGGTTCGCAGGGCGGCGGAGTAGAGGGGCAGCGGGGGTGGGGGGTTGGGGGGTGCACGCAGGGTCACCTTGAGCCGATTCAGCTGGTCGTGCAGGGCCGCCTTCAACCGGAGAAGCGTCTCCTCCTCCTTGCGCAGCTCCTGAAGCCGGCTCAGCATGGCGCCTCCACCCGCCCGCCGTCCGGCCCGGCGCTCGGTAATGACGTCACGAACCCCGCGTTCCCGGAAACCAAGCCGCGGGCTGGGCGGGGCTAGTGCCACGTGGGTAAAAGCGCTTCCTGCCGGCGTCCGCACTCTAGCCAGCTGCTTCACGTTCGACCTGCTCTGTCCAGCACAACCCCGGTTTTTAACCAAAAAACCTAAATTCAGTGATCATTAGGAATCCTAAAGCACAGGATGTGGAGCCATAAAGAACTCGGGAGATAAAAACGGTCAAGTACCCAGTTTCAAATGCTTTTGAGCAGTACTCCCAGCATCGAACTTTAGTTTTTTGCAACTGAAAGTTGTTTTAAACGCCATAAAACCTGCAGACGCATCTGAGGGCAGAGACAAAAGCCACGAGCATCTAGCACAGAGGCGCACGAGCCCTGTTGATTTTTGCAGGCAAGGATTCCTGGCCACGTGAAAGTGGTTACCAAGAGGCTGCGCAAATTAGAGCACGAAGATTAAATTGGTGCTAACAAATTCAAATGGCATGTGGAGCCTTTAAATGCTAAGGAACAGAGATCTTCTGTATCTGCAAACCAGAGGATACATCACCTGGATGTGTACTTAAAGGAAACAAACCAGATGCAAAACAAGACCCTGACAAGAGTCAGGTCAGGACAGGTCAACCCTTAAGGTGGTAAGACGTGCTGACAAAACGGTAGGGAAAAAATCCCCAATGTCCTTTTGGGTACACTTCTCTGCGGTATACTTGGCCAACGTATCCCTTTACCAAAACCGCAAACCCAAGTAGTTCTGAAACTTTCATACTATGGGTCAAAATACTGAGGTAGCATTCCCCCTAGTAACTGTACTCTTATCACAGCAGGTTGTAATAGGAACCTTCATGGAGGAACCAGCAATTTCTTTTTGCAGAACCTCAAAATCTATTCTGCCCTCTTGTGGTACTGAGAATAAAAAACCTCATGTAATTTTACCTATTTTCCAAGGCGTATTTTTTGTTTTGGGGGAGAATTCTTTTTTAAAAAGATTTGAGTGAGCCTGTGACTGAGCATGTTGAGGGAAGAGGGAGAGAATCCCAAGCGGACTCCCCACTTAACTTGGGAGACCAACACGGGGCTTGATCCCATGACCCATGCATGAGCTCTTGACCCAAAACCAAAAGTGGATGCTCAACAGATTGAGGCACCCAGGTACCCCGAGGAGTGCTTAATCTTCTAACAGCTTCTGCACATTTGAGAAGTCTTAACCACTTGCTTTTCAAAAACTGTTCCTACAAATTGGATTTTATATCTGGATTTATGCAGCATTCTTCTTCCAACTGCATGATTTACTACGAAGGCAAAGCCCTGTTTTACACCAGACTATGAAATGGAACCAAGAGGCTAGAATTATGGGGGAACGAACAAAACTCTAACCAAGATTCACAAACACATCCAAAAATTCGTGTTTCTCACTGGCTTTCATCAGGTCTTTATTCAAAATTAGCTGTCCAAAATAACTTGACTTTTATAGAATTAACGTAAGTTTTTAGGCAGTAGGCTTCTCTGCAGTGGGTTTCTTTTCTGCAGGCTTCTTGTCAGCTGCTGGTTTCTTGGTAGCTGCAGCCTTTTTCCCCACCACAGGTTTCTTCTGCTTCTTCACACCAACAGCCTTCTTTCCTTTCTTCCCAACCACAGGCTTCTTGCCTGGAACCCCCTTCTCATCTGATTTGGCTTCTAAGGCTGCTGCTGCCTTATCCAGTCGAAGTTTGTG